TCTACCCCTTTTGGGACAAAAGTAAATCTAAGCCAGCTGTGACGTTTAATCACCATTTATAGGATGATTACTTATCAGAAGCAAAGCTTGTAGTTGTCTCCTTAGAGCCCATCAGCCACAATAACACTGCAATATATAGAATTTTCATCACCAGAAAAATCTGTACATACCAAAAGTTACTTTTTGGTAGTTTAGTTTACTGCAGTAATGGGCAAAAGGATGCACATGATGATAATTTTCATTTTGTACTATGTTTTGTCTAAGGATGATGGCGAAAGAATTATGCCTCCCAATGCTCCTTTCAAAGATGACAAAGGTAGAGAAATGACATGAGTGGTGAGTGGTTGGATCTTATGAAAAATGAAGTTTTAAATGTGTACTTCATTGTCTAAATGCTCACAGATGACTTGTCTCCCTATAATAACCACAGAAAATGTGTTGGCAGCACATCACAATCAATAATCCATACTCCTATTTGTGTGCTACAGGCAGTCCAATATACCCCAGACATATTTCTTACCCAAGCTTATAACCAGATTCAAATCAGATCCTACGTTTGTGCCAAAAATTGAACGGCAGTCATCTCGCAGCAAATAATTCTGACTGACTGACTCAAGAGTCTTAAATTCCTAATTTTTCCCGAAGTGAAATTCACTTTAATCCCATATTAATGTATTTGTCTTTCAGCCACCTGTAAATGAATCCCATAGCCTTGCAGAAGGGATTGCACAGACAGTGGAAGGTACTGTACCTACGTAGCATTGTTGTAGGTTTTCCTGATCATCTAGATTGTGTAAGATCCTTTAACATTAATTGGGACGAGTTTTCTACCTAGGGTAATGTTGAATTTCTCTTTGAGGGTTTTTTCCACCTCTTCATCTTCAAGGGTTACAAACTCCACCAGATCCATGTTTTCCTTGTAGTTGTACGTGGTCTCAGTGAACGTCCACCCAATTAGTGCTCGGAAGCCGTCGGTGGTCTGGAGGGTGCAGATGGACTTCTTTGTAAAGAGGGAATCTGGAGAGGTCTGAAGGTAGGTGCACTGGAAACGGAAATCTTCCACTGTCCGTGGCTCAAGGCTGAACATATAAACCTTCCGACACTCTTTTTTCTCCAGCAGGTCAGAATTAGAGAAGTTCTGGTTGGGGATACACTGTTTCCGTCTCATTTTCTCCAGGTACCAGACGGCGTTTTTTTCCGTGAAGCGGAAGACGCCAGGAGCCTGGGGCTGGTCTTTCCCCGACACGAGCTCCATGGGCTGCCACATCTGATAGGACACACCAAAGCCTCCGTCAACGATGTAGGCTTTGCCGTCAATGACTACCTTTACCAGGAGGTGGGTCATGAGGGTGGCATACGTGTTTTGGTGGGGGTTGAACACATATGCTCCCAGGAAGCTGGTGTCGTACCCCAGGCACTTCAGGACCCAACCCAGCAGCTGGTTGTTTTCCATGCACCAGCCTCCCCGCTTCCTCTGCACGATTTTGTTGTAAACATGCTCCAGTTCCAAAGTAATTTTCTCGCCGCAGTGGATGCTGAGGTTTTCAAAAGGAACAGCGCGGATGTGGTGCTGGAATATATCAGTTAAGGTTTCCAAATCTTGCTTTTCAAGGGAGCCTTTATAGCCAGTTCTTGCAAAATACTCTTCAAGGTTCATGTCACCTGTAAAGGAAGGAATTGCGTTTTGGTTTGGTTTCTTTACTTCAGTGATTTATGATGCTGTGAAAAGCTGCCCTGGCTCTGCCAGCAAAGATGCTTTAATCTACTGAACCTCATCAGAGCAGCTCTTAAAGGTACCAAGTATTCATATCAAATGGCTCCCCAGGCAAAGAGCAGTGCATGTGAGAGTTTGCTTTTGTCTGAGGGGCATCCCTATAGCAAACAGCCGATGCCTTTTCAGCTTCCTATGTGGTGCTTGTGAAATGGGGATTTGCTGTATTTGCATTGTAACAGCAGGGTTAAGAAAAAAATAAAAGATCACGCTAGGGAGTACGTACAGGGGTTCATGAAAAATGGTTTAAATCCTCTGTTCAATGCAAGGAGTGTCAGTGGGGGAAGCAGTGTTGTCTGCCAGCTGGAGGGAGGATAATTTGAGCTCTTTACATGAGTCTGCCACTGATCGACATGACAGTAAATTGCTTGTTCAGTGCACGTCGCTCTTCCACCACTTACAAAAAGTTAAGATGATACTCCTGCACATTTTGTAAAGTGTCAAGTTTTATTCAGATAACTTTGACTGGAAAAACTCTGACCTCTGAAAGAGTCACAGACAACTGATCTGGTCTATTGTAGAAATGAGTATTGTAGAAGCTCATTTTGGTGTTGGAATAATGAATCCTAATGGAAGTGAGTGACCCCAAAGACAAAGAGCACATCTGCCCTGCATCTCACAGGGTGCCCTGAAAATGGACATGGGCTGTTTTACACCTCTCTAGGCCTTTCTTGAAACTCACTTTAATCCTTCCAGAGAAGGCATGACCGAGAATTACCCAAGCCTCAGACAGTGCAACCTCAGCCTGTGCTGACTCCTGACCTGCCTTGGTAAGACTCCTCATGAACAAGATTTCTGGATGAGGAAATACTCAGCTTCATTCCTGCCTTCTAATACAGTGAAAGCCACTCACATTCATCTGGCTTTTGCAATGGCCCATCACAGTCTCTGGCCACTGTCATGAGCTGGATCCTTGGTAGGTATCTGGTAGATGCTGTTTGTAAAATACACTGTAGATCATCTGCTTGGGTCTGGAGCTGGGCACAGAATGTTTTGAAGGCTTGAGCCTTTGCAAAGAGAGCACTGAGCATTTCAGCAGTTCAGAACTAGTGCAAAACTTTAGCTTCTTGCCAACACACGAAGCTACTTGGAGATCTTTTGTGCATACACAGTAAGCTGAGGTTTAGACACGTCTTAGTGACTCAGGAAGACTATTGTATTCAGATAAATTCAGCAGTGAACCATTGAAGGTTTACTGCAAGCTGGAATTTCTCAAGATGACTCTCAGTGGCAGATTCGTGCTGTGCCTGTAGCTGGTGCAGAGGCAGCTGTCCAAAGTGCATGGAGAGCACCATCAAATCTACACTTATCTGCTGCAGAAAGGAATTTAGCTTCCAGTGATATCTCAGTGTATTGTTGTACTATTTGCTAAGTATAACATGATTCAGGGCATTTTTGATTTGCAGAATCCAAGTATATCTGATCCTACTCGCTCTTATTGTGGATGCTAAACAGATCACACCTGCATAAAGCTGGTTCTGGAGTTCATATTATTTGTAATTTCTGCCTGCAGCTCCATGATGTGATTGATCAGCATTAGATCTGGACTGGAGATGATGAAAGCTACTGTTCTTTTGAATTATGAGCAGGTCAGATGAAAAGGCAGGTACTGAAAGGGCAGGATACTGCAAAGGCAGGTGCTGAAAAGGTAGCCCCCCAAATGTGGCTGTGATTTATGCAGAGAAAAACATCAGCAGAAGAACTTTAAAGAGCTGTTTCTAAATGTGCAAATGAAGGTGCTCATGCAAAAATATTCCTTACCAGGACTATACACACTGTCAGCAATTCCATTGTTAAAAACATGTTATTTGTCTTCCTTTATCTTAATATCTCAGCACATGGATTTTCTGGGTTACACAACCTGCAGTTTGTAATTTTTTTTTAAAGTTGTTTTTATTCCCATAAAGCAGAATCTATTGATTATTAGATTGCACTTTTGCTTCCTTTGCACTTGCAATACTTTTAAATAAATTTAAAAATCTCAAAGCATCACTTCCATCAAGAGGTTGCAGTTCTAAATTTGTATCTAGTATTTATATCTAGTATTGTATCTAAACAAAAGAATCCATATCTCATAGTCAATTGAAGCCTCTCCTGAAGAGTAAAAGGTAGAAGAATTGAAATTGCATGTCACTTTTTTGCCCTCTTTAAGAGTTCCTATTTAGCAGGTGATATTTTAGCTCTATATCCACATATTTTTAGAACATTTTTCCTAAAGAATATTGCTTATGTTATTGCCCATGACCTTTACCGTCATAAAGCAAGCAGGGGTTTTGTTGCTTTGTTTGGAGGGATTTTTAAGAAAATAAACTTACCTCTTAAGAGATCCCTTTTTATTTATTGAGGTATTCAGTTTCTGGGTGGTTTGTTACAGTCAGTGAAGCCAGGAGTGGATGCAGATTGTGAGGGTTGTCTTTCTAAGCTCTGCTGGCCCTCGCTCCTGAATCTTAAATTCCAAGAAAGGGCAGAGTCCACCCAAAACGAATGCACATTTTTGGACTTCACTGATCCATGAGCAAATTAAACTTTGTTTCTTCTCTATTAGTAGATGTTTATGCCTTCCCCTGGTTAAGACCAGAATGAACTTGTTTTCCAGATAAAATAATTACAGTGGGCAGTTGCAAACGGCTTTGTAACTTTTTAAAATTAAATTATGGTTATTTTGCAAACCAGTACTTTGTGGTGGAGGATGGTATCTGTGTCCTGGTGGGTCCACTGAATTGCTGAGGCATTGCAGGCTGGGTGTTCCCATGCTCCATGGATGCACAAAATGACACTTCTTTGCCCTTTTTAATCTGTTCAAACCTTCAGCTGCAGCAGGGAGTTATTTTGGAGCTGCCACACCTAACAAATACCACCACAAATACTTATTTGCACAAAGTAATGCATTTCCTCCTCCTGCATCCTTAAAGCGTTGCAGTGCTGCTTATTTAATTCTCTCCCTGCCAAGCACGTCCCCTCTTCATTTGATGGAGGTGGAATGTCAGAGCAGGTCCTTTTTGGGAAGGCAAAGAGCACATTAGGCTGCACCTGGGAAAGCACCTGAGTTTTAGGCACATCAGGTGCTCCGTGGGTCTTGTGTGGTTGACTGAAACAAGCATCAAAGTCTTTTCCTTGGCTGAAGACCGATGCCCTTCTATCTATAATACTGTCATGCCCTCTTGACATCACAAGAGGGTTTGGTCCTAAAAGTCTAGATTATATTTTGCAAAGGCTGATCTAACTTTGATTTTTTTTTCCCCAGGTTTGATAGCAAAAGCCTGATTTTTGAGAACTGTTGAGTCATCTTGCTTTCTATGAATTTTCCTTCAGATTTAGAGACACAGAAATATCAGACTCAGAAAAAATGGGATGCTCAAAATTAAACATCTTCTGAGGGGTTTTAGATGCCCTTGTATAAATAACTCACTTTAAGTCAATTCCTAGTAAAAGAATAGGATCAAGTCTTTCCATTTATCTCATCAGAAGCTAATCAGCACCTAATGGTGTCTTGTTTTGAGAAACTCTTAACCTTTCTTTTTTTCTAGTAAGTCTTTGAAAGCCAAATTCAGCTCAACTTTCAGACTTTTAAAGGAAGTGAATAATTTGTAAAACTCTGCTGAGAAGATTGGAAATAACAGCAAAGAGGGTTAGAGGTCTTCTGTGTAAAATGGTAACAGCTTCTCCTTCTGCATCATTTTGGTCTCCTTTGATGCAAAATATACCTGCAATAAAATGAGTTCCAGAGAGGTGGAACAAAATGTTAAGGAGTCAAAAAGCAATTTCCATATGAGCAAATCAGAGGTAGTAAGACTCTTAGTTTCCAAAGAGGGAGAAGCTTAAGAAAACTTATGCAAAAAGTACAGGCAGTTAACTAGCAAGGTACTTGAATTTACCAAGGTTTGTGTCTAGTTCAACTTCAGAATCAATTAATGTAATTAATGTTAATTTTAGAACTTTTCTATTGGATACTTGATCCATCTAGCACAGTGCTAGAATTAGATCTTATCCACTAAATTAGGTGGCAAGCCACGGACATTTACTGGTACAAGTTTGTTCTCTAGCACTATATTGAATTTATCTTTCAGTGTCTTCTCAAGCTCTTCATCTGTAAGAGTTGTGATGTGCACCAGGTCCATGTCCTCTGTGTAATTATACTTCATCTCAGTCAAGGTCCATCCAACTAAGCCAATGAGCCCTTCAGTGGTCTGGAGACTGCAGAGTGACTTCTTCCGAAGTATGTTATCTGGAGACACTTGTAGGTATGTGTTTAACTCCTGAAAGTCATTTATATGTCGTGGCTCAAGAGTGAATCTATGTATTTTTCTGATGTTCCCCAATCCTGGAGTGTCAGTGAAGTAAGGAGTCTCACTTTGCTCAGGAATATAATGCTTCCTTTTGACTTTCTCAAAGTACCAGGTGCCATTGTCTTCCACGAAGCGGAAGATTCCAGGGACCTGGGGTTGATCCTTCCCAGAAATCAGCCTCAGTGGCTGCCACATCTGGTAGGCACCACCAAAACCGGCATCCACGATGTAGGAATTTCCCTGGATCACCACCTTCAGCAGGATATGGTTCATCTCAGCAGCGTATGCCCTCTCTGCTGGGTCATAGCTATTCCCACCAAGAATGCAGACGTCATACCCTAATTCTTGCAAGGCCCAAAATAAAAGGTAGTTGGTTTCCAGGCACCATCCACCACGTTTCTTGCGCACGATCTTATTGTAAATGGACTGTAAATCCAGTTCGATGGTCTCCCCGCAATGCATGCTGAGGTTCTCAAAAGGAATGGCCTGGATGTGATGCTGGAAGATGGCTTTTAAGGTTTGCAAGTCTGCATCCTTATGGGGCTTGTTGTAAGATATTCTTCCGAAATACTCCTGAATGTTCATTTTGCCTGTGTGAGCGGAAAAACAGCCAGTTACTGCTGTGCAGCTGCCAAGGGCTTCACTCCTATTTCTGTAACACTGGTTAACCAGCCTGCAAACATAGCCTGGGCCATTTTATTGAGGATTTGAAAGAAACTTTTGCCCCTGATATGAGACAAATGCAGGCTAGACCTGCCTTTGCCGTTTGTATTTCTTGAAAAAGAGACAAAGATGGGAGTAGGTGACAATAATGCTTTCCCTCTCTCAGATGTTGCCTTCAAACCAGATGGATGTCTTTCCTATGGGAAGACATACCACAGAGTCTCTGGCCACAGATGAGGATCCCACATGACAAGTTTTCTAAAACTGGCAAACAACAGGTTTGCAGAAAAGCTGTTAAGACCATACCAGCATAAAAGTCACAGCAAGTTCCCACTGTTTCTTTTACCAGGTAAGCAATTCTTTCTTTATCCCACAGGTAATTTAACCAGAAGGTTTTACATTCATGGCTTCATTTAACTGGGATTAACATCTCAGTGTGTCACCATTTTAGACAGGCTTCCATGTGAAGTAGATTGTTGTTTTCGTAATCTCTTAAATTTCCCTGTGGAGTTTAGACAGGGCTTTGGCCCTGGCTGTGAAAGGAAGGAACTGTTAATTTTTCTAACCTAAGGATTAGAGGAACTGGTAATTACTAAGAATACATACAAGGTGTATTCATCATCTTTTGGGGTTTTTTTACCATCTTGTACAAACAAAAACCTTTTCTCTCAGCTCGAATTATTGGAAATATTTTGTGTCTTTAGGTCTTTGATCCCCTTTCCTTTCATTATGAGAAAGATGCTGTCATTGGTACTGGCTGTGTGGTCAAGGTGCAAAAGGCTCCCTGTAACACTTCTAACCCACTGACTCATCTGGTCTCTGCAAGGATTTCTCTTGCCTTTAGTTTAGATTTAATTTGGCTTTTTTTCCACGGAAGGATATTTGTCTTCCAGAACAATTCACAATCTGCTAAGGGCTGTAGTAATTTCTAAAAAGTCTGAGATTTCTTGCTCAAAGTCCATCACGTGTTCTCTGGGAAGATTTTCTGAAAATCAGTTGATGTGGATGAGATGCAAGAAACTCCCTTCTGGTGACTATTCTCAGCTTTGGTCCAACTGCTCCCCCCAGCAGTTTGACCCCATGACCATGGCAGCACTCAAGGGAGTGCTGGGAGCTTGTGAAAATCCCACCTCAAACCCATGGGTGGAAACACCCCCGCCCCAGCAGGTGAGCACATCAGGTGACCTGATCTCCAGACTTTAACCCCAACCTTGATGCCAGCAGCACAACTCACATGAATTAGTTGTATTGCTCCTGATCTGCACTGGTATCAGGATTCAGACTGGCTGATGCAAAGCCACAGGAAAATATGATAGAATAGAGGCCCATCCCAATAAGGGAATAAGAAACAAACATTTTCATTTCAAAAGGACCTGAGGAGGCTACATGAAAAAACAGTAATGTCTCTTTGATACTGCATTTTATGGGTTTTTTCCATCCCTTTTTTTAGGACAAAGGCACTCATCTCTGGCAGGATATGCTTTGAAACACTTGTAGGAAGCTATTCCCTCCCCAACACACAGTGCACAAGTATGCTGGCAGGTTCATCCTGTGGTCTTCTGGTTTATTTTTCTTTCTATTCTCACTTTCAGCAATTTTGCATAGCAAGATAGAAACATCTTTTCCCTGTGATGGTGTTGAGCTGAATCTCTGTGACCAAGAGGGCTCCAGGAGAATCCATTAATTAGCCTAGTGGGTGTGATACCATTGAAATTTGCCTTCAAGCAAAAACCCGATGAGTCCCTGCCCTGGTCCAGCAGCTGAAGACCTGATGCCCTCCCTACAACCCATCTCCTGGGTCTGGGTGTTCCCACTGCTCCATTGAGAGCTCAGCAAATAACCAGTTCCTCTCTTCTATCCATGAGCAACCTCCCAATGGAGAGCCTCCGTGGGGGGCTGGCAGTGGGGCTTTAGGAAAACACATTTTGGGAAATTCTCGGCCTGTGCCTCAGTTTCCCCAGCTGCCCCTTCTCTGGCCTCATCAGTGTAAAGGCTGGATCAGAGACAGCCTTTGGTGGCTGACAAAACGTGCTCTGATCTCAATGAATACTTAAAGAGGTTTAAGTATAATAAAGCTGCACTACATCATCAGGGACATCAGGGAGCACCCACATAAATCAGTGTTTACTCCCTCGCCTTCCCAAGGGCAGATTTTTTTTCTTGGCACCACCATTCCCACTGTGCGAGCGCTGAGGCTGCAGCAGTGAGCAAGCCCTCGCCCAGGGGAGAGTTTTTGTTCCAAAACTGAGTTGCCAAATATCCCAAGCCTCAGTTCAGCCTTGTTTACTTCTGCTCGTGCAGCAGCTGAGCTTCACTCAGCATTCATGCAGCTTGGGGGGTAGTGAGAGTCAGACATTAGTTCTGCCTGCCTGGAAGAGCCCCTGGGGATCGCTGTGTCCTTCCATAATTAGGGTATTAGCAACAGTTCTTCTCTGCTAAAAATCATGAGGGACTTCCAAGGCTGGATCCTCTTGCACATGCCTGTGCTATTTGTTTGATTTTTAAGTCACGATGTGAGTCAGTAGCTGGCTCAGCATAAAGGGGTTAGTTTAACTCTCAAAGAATTGCTGTACTTGGAAAACGCCCTTGCCGTGCAACACACACCGTTGGCCCCTGTGTTCCTGTGATTTGTGCTTTGCTAATATGCCTACAGTGCCTAGCACATGGTATGCAGAGCCACAGGGGTGGGCTTTCCCAAACTGAACTTCTGGGCTGACCCAAGGCTGCAGGGTGAAGTTAAAGATCAGGTACTCAGTGCTTACCTCTCAGGCAGTCAGCTCAGGCTTTCCACGCTGGTTTGCTCCAAAGTTCCCAGGAAGAGCTGCTCTGGGAACTGCTGCCCTTAAAGGTCCAGGCTGCCTTTACTGCCTGTCAGGGACAGTGTTATTCTCTGTGTTATTTTCAGTGTTATTCACAGCAGTAAAAGAGGTGAGAATTTCTTCTTTTATAACTGTTTATATTCTAATTGTTTTATTGGTTTATTTATACTGGCATATGTGTAGATAGCCTTGTTATGACGGAGGGCCTGAAAATGATCCAGCCCCCAGATTGCTTACAGTATTGAGTAGATTTTAACCTTCCACGTTACTGAATGAGAACTGAAGCCCTGCAGAAGTACAAAGGAAAAAAGCAGTATGAGTATCATGACCAACTTTTGTAAGTGGTTATAACCTATAAACCCATCCCTGACCCTGCAGGGGCTTCAGTCCATGGGGCACGTTATGGGTGCTCCCAAGCTACAGCAGCAAAGAAATAGTGCAAATTTTGATACAGATTTTATATTGTTGACACTCATGTAGTCTGGATTCCTGCTGGAAGTGACTAGTGATAGTTATCCAAGGCAAGAAGTCACTATTTCATTGATAGGAATGGCAGCTGTTGAATTAGTCACACATATTCCTCGTGGCTGGTACCAGCCCTCCCCAAGGCAAGAAGATCAGATTTGCCAAGTCAGGTAGCTGTTTAAATCCTCTTGGGTTCAAAAAGAAGCCCTGTTCTCCAGCACCAAGGACACTGCTCCCAGAGAAGTCTGTGCTCCCTGAACCTGCTGTGCCTTTAAGGATCTGCCTCCAAAGTTAGTGACAAGGAAAAAACAAACCAGTGCAACTGGAGAGGAAGAGCCTCTTTTTTTTTTTTTCCCCCCTTCCAACAGCAAGTTTCATTTGGTTGCTCAGCAATAAAATCTGCCTCTGTGGATGTGCTGAGCAGGGGCCAGGAGTGCTGAGCTGTGCCATGGAGGGGCAGCAGCCCTGGCAGTGGCCAGGGCACATGGTCCAGGAGATGTGTCAGCAGAAAGAAAATGGTTTTCCCTGTTATTGCCCTTCCCATGTCGAATCTCTGGGGCAATGGATGTGATGCTCTACTCTGATCTTAAAGGTCTGTGATTTTATGTTTCTGTAGTCCTTGCTCTGAGTCTATGGAACTCCAGGTACAGGGAGAGGAGCAGGCACAGCCCCTTCTAGGTGTTTCCTATGTCTGTTCCCACAAAGGATGGAGCTTCTTGGCTCTGCATGGATCTTCTCCTGTCCCACAACTTTGCAAGACCTGCTTGGACTTTTGCCTGCATCCCAATGCTCTGCCCCAGCTGCCAGGCTGCTACAAGGACAAACCTCCTAAGTTTAGCTCCTTTAGCTCTTCCACTATTGCAGGGACCACAGAAAGACACAGACCACAAACAAGCCATATCCTGGGACAATTCCTTCTGATCACCTGTGTTGCAAGCTGCTGGTCCACACCATAAGAAACCCCTTTTTCTTCTGCAACCCACTACAGGATGTCATTAACATTTCATTTCCCTGTGGGGTGGGAGAGCCTCATATGCTATGAAGGACTATTGCACACCCACAGCCAAGCACATACAGATGAGTTTGAACTCTGGGGAGATGGGGATTTGGGGAGCTCGCTGTGTCTCTATGAAATACACTTTGAACGTGCAGAATAGCAGCAGCTTTTATTCACCATAAATTGCTAGTTATAGAAAGCTGCACATACTGCATAGCAAGTAAAAAAGGTTCAGTGAGTTATTGTGTTTTTAAAAGCCTTTGCTGCAAAATATTAGCACATAAAAATAATCAGGACAACTGCAGTGATTAATGACATTTTTTACTTTGGGAATACATGCTGTAATTTGGGGGGGGAAATGTCTGAATAATTCTACCACACAATGCTTTATTTATTTTTTTTTTTATTTAACTGTAAATCACTTATATAATTTACTAAATTATAAGTGCATAGTTGTAATGCTTCCAAGATTTGTACATGAAGGAACATCAAGTATCTTCTCAAAGGGCAAAGTGATCACATTTGAGTAATTTCTCCTACTAGAAATCTTAGCCTTTAGGTATGTGATTAAGATTCATCGTTTCTCCTTTTATCAATATAATTTGTATCACTGCAAACACATCCTCAGTAGAACAGATATATTTCAGATAAATAATTCTGTGCCTGTTTTTGGGTTCAGCCATAATAATTAATGTGCAATAACACTCAGAGTGACGAGAGGAACATGTATTCCCAGCAGTCTGCTGCTGGGTGGTAGCAAACAAAATGCTCAGGAAATGCTTTAAGTTCAAAGAAATACTGCTTTTTGGTTATGTCACTCAGAGAACAGGAGTCGGGTAAAGTCTGAAACAAGGCAGAATTGTCGCTAATATTTCTTATCATCTGTTTCAGGCCATAAATAACCTGTCCTTAAGTATTCTCACGGTGCAGCACAGGTGTGACACCATCTGACTGCCACGTGAGAGGGTGTTGTGGATGCAGGAGCAAAAAAGACAGGCTTGAGGAGCAAACTCAGCACAGGATGTCTTTGTTTTTCTGGCTGTTAAATTCCCAAAATAATATAGTGTTCATTTAAGAGGTGGATATGATTTTCCCCAGGTGGCAGCACCAGGTAATAAAGAAAGAGCCATGCAGTTCCAGCGTTCTGCCCAGCTGCTCTGGGTGTGTTTAGAGAAGCTTTTAAGAGATGAAAGGAGTAGGGAATGGGCAGAGTGTGCTCCCCGCTAAGCACAAATAGAGGACAGTGATTTGATTGAGCTGGAAAGGAGTTATTTGTACCCAAATCAAAAAGAGATGTAGGAATAGTTGTGAAAATCCATTTCTTTTCCAGATTCGTGCTAGTATGTTCTGCTTTACACTGGTGTAGATGGAAGGGAAAAGCTCAACCTTTAGAGGGGGAGGAATTGCCTGTAATGCCCCTTGAATTGAATTATAATTCAGGCAGTGACTTAGAACAGAGACAACCTGCTTGTATTGACGGGTACAAATTTCTTGTCTAGCGTTATATTGAATTTCTCTTTCAGTGTTTTCTCTATTTCTTCATCTGCAAGCATTCTGATTTCCACAAGATCCATATTGTCCCTGTAATTGTACTTCATCTCAGTGAGTTTCCACCCCACCAGTGCCCGGATGCCGTCGGCAGTCTGCAGGCTGCAGATAGACTTGGTCACGAAGAGCGAGTCGGGCGCTGTCTGCAGGTGGGCATTGCAGCCTCTGAACTCTTCAATGTCTCGTGGCTGAAGGGTAAAGAGGTAAATCCGACGGCAAACTTCATCTTCCACGTTATGGGAAGTGGAGGCACCTTGGTTAGGAACCCACTGCTTCCTTTTCACCTTCTCGAGGTACCAGGTCCCGCTCTCCTCCAGGAAGCGAAAGACCCCGGGAGTCTGCGGCTGATCTGTCCCTGAAATCAGCTCCATTGGCTGCCACAGCTGGTAGGCCATCCCAAACCCCCCATCCACGATGTAGGATTTGCCATCAAGCACCACTTTTAGCAGCAGGTGATCCATTTCCTCTGGGTAGGCGTCATGCTCCGGAACAAAAACTTTTGCTCCCAGAAGGGTGACGTCATAGCCCAGAGTTTTCAGGACCCAAGACAAAAGGTAGTTGTTTTCCATGCACCAGCCCCCACGTTTCTTCCTCACTATCTTGTTGTAGGTCGCTTCCAGGTCCAGCTCAATCGTTTCCCCACAGTGGATGCTGAGGTTTTCAAAAGGGACAGCTTGGATGTGGTGCCGGAATATATCTGACATGGTACCCAGGTCTGGCTTATTGTGGGAGCCCCGATAAGAAATTCTGGCAAAATATTCCTTGATGTCCATTCTGCCTCTGAGAGAAGGGTGGGAAAAAATAATAGGTTGTGTCAGAAGTGATGGAAGGCTCTTCCCATTCCTTATAATGGGGCGCTCGGAAGAGGAGCAGGATTTGACTAATGTCTGTCTCAAAGGCAGCTGAGTATTAGCGCTGAGAGAAGCCAATGGGATGCTGCTGATGAGCACAAATGTTATTTTTATTTGCTTCTTTTACAGCTGTGATGAGAGGCTCCAGCTGTGCTAAGCACATTTCAGCAGAGTTCCTGCCCAGCAAAGCTACAAATCTCCGTAGGAAGGAACAAAAGCAGTAGCAGAGATGTTTCCCTGCTAGAAATGATAGGAACTGAGACTCTCCAGATCTGAACTGCTCATGGTCTGACTCATTGAAGCAGAAGCAGAAAACAAACCCTCCCACTCTTGCAGAGCAATCCAGAGCCTCCTCTGCAACCAAACATGAAACAAATCTGTCCTGCTGTGGTATTTCTTCATTATTTAGGCAGCCTAGCACAAGCTGGTCTCACTTGCTCCTGCTCTCTGTGCTGGCAGTAGCAGATGTGACCTGGAGTGCAAAAGGCTGCTTTAGGGCAGAAAAGGCTGTGGGAGATTTTTTGCTGCATCTGCTGTGAGCTGCCTCCCCGCAAGCACAGCTTAGCTCCCCAGCTCTGCTAATCACAGCCCCATGCCAGCAGCAGGAGGAGTCCAAGGTTTGGGCCAAAACTACAAGTTTCAGGGGCTCTCAGATTTTCTGGCGTCATTTTTTGGGATGCATTTGCTCCTTCTACTCATGGTCACCCCAGCAGTGAGTGTCTGCTCATGGGTAAGGGAACAGGCATTGCCCCACCCTGGGATGGCAGAGGGCTCAGTGTGAGGCTGTTTCATAAATATGGGGGTGGAAAGCAGCTCAAACCCTCCCAGCCCTCCGTGGAAGGAATGGGATTTTGATGGAGCCAAGTACTTTTGTTGTTCCTCCCCAGGCACTGCAAAAATTCAGGCAACTGTAAGTATGCAGTAATATTGTTCAGATTGTTGACCCAAGAGGTCCCAAAATGTTCTTAAGTTCCTGTATACAACTCTCAAAGTAAAATCATAAGATAAACTCCAACAGTTCCAACAGGATTATATTCTCGATCTGATGAAAAATGGCACAGCCAAAATTGTATGGGAATTTTGGAATGATACTTTCAGTACATAAACAAAGCAATTAAAAATTCCCATTTGGTCCAATACCCTGGCAGAAGCAACGGGTGTTTTGGTTTGCCTCC